CGTGCGCTACTCCGCGCGCCCCGGAGACGCCTTCCTGCACGAGCGCGCCCGCCTGCCGGACCCGGACCGCGCGCAGGTCGCCGTCGCGCGCTTCGCCGACGCGCACACCGTCGTCACGGGCACCGCCAACGGCCACGTAAGACGCTGGGACCTCCGCGCCGGGCGCGCGCCCGTGTGGAGCGTCGACCCCAGCGGGGCGCGCCTGTACATCAGCGACGTGAGGGTCGGGGAGACGAGCGGGGACTTGTACATCAGCTGCGACTTGGCCACGAGCAACAGCCTTGCGAGGTGGGATATGCGCATGGGGGACGGGCCGAAGGCAGAGTTCGAGAAGACGCGTTGGGGCGAGGGCGACGTGTTTGACGTGTCGGAGAGGGCTGGCGTGGTCGTGGCCGGCGGCAGTGGACAGAAGGTGAGCGTGTGGGATTGCCGGAGAGGCGGGGGGGAGCTTAGGAGTGTGAGGCTGGATGAGAGCATCAAGCTGATCAGGTTGATGGGGCTCGGCGAGGGCGTAGAGCGGCCGGGGATGTTCGTCAAAGGGGAGTTCGAGGTGTTCGTGTTCGAGGTGGGCGGGTCGTAGCGCGGCGCGCGTATCGTATCGTGTACATCTAGGAGGCAATAGAGCGCTGCCGAGGGCAATGCGGGGGCCGTCATGTTCGTGAGCGCGGGGCTTGTCGAACGCGACTCCCTGGCCGCTGGCGGCGGCGGAAGGCTACGCGCGACGCGGAACGCAATCGGAGCACGGCTCCAGCGACTGGCCGCGCGCGGCACCTCGCGCAGTTGGTTAGGGACGAGGGCGGTAGGACAGCATGCGCGGCGTCCCGTGCCTGCGTCGCCCCCGGCAGCGCGGGAGCCGCGGGTCGCGAGCGTCGATAGGCGGCGGTACGCCTCGCCAGGGGGGCGGGAGGGGGGGACGGGCGGGGAGGGCATAAAGGGCGCACGACGGATGGAGGCCAAGCGACGATCGACGAGGTGCTCCAAAGAATGGGCGTCGGAAAGAAGGAAATCGTGTATAACACGACAGCCACTCACAACGCAGGGCATGCCATCAACATGGCGCCTGTCCCCCGCCTTCCCCGGTACAATTCTACATACGCCGTCCCACGCGGACTCCGCTCACGCCGCTTCTCCCGAATTCACAAGCGCGTGCGGCATCCCTCGTTGCCCGCCCCCCATCCCCGCCACCAACCATGACGCCGCCGCCACCCCCCGACGGCGCCTCCACGGCGGCCGCGGCCGCGGCCGGGCGTCGCTCGGCCATCGTGATGCGGCCGGCCGCGGCGCCGCCCGAGGAGGACGCGAACGCGTACTCGACGTCGCTGGACTCGAACGCGCGCAAGCTGGACGCGCTGAAGAAGAACCCGCTGGTGCCGGCCGGCGCGGCCGCCACCGGGCTCGTGCTCATGGCCGGCCTGTTCGCGTTCAAGTCCGGCAACGTCGTGCTGTCGCAGCGCCTCATGCGCGCGCGCGTCATCGCGCAGGGCGCCACGCTCGGCGTGCTCGCCGCCAGCGTCGCCGGCGGCGTCGCGACGAAGGCCGACCCTGCCGAAGGAGACCAAGCGGAGCCGCAGCCGCAGCAGCAGAGTACATAGCCGGTCGCGAAGATACAGCGTTTCAAAAAAAAAGGACTTTTTTATCGCACCTAGCCATCCACCCCCCG